TGTATGACTACATAAATTAGAAAGAGTTATGATAAGCTACATGTAGCTACAGCTACATGTAGCTTATCAGCTCAACCACTAATAACACGGAAAGTGCAGTACAGCATATGTGCATGTAAAGTCATAAACACCCCAACAGGTTATTTAAATTCACTTATACAGAACATAGGTAGATACACATACACATACGCGTGAACGGCATAGGTATGGTTTAATATTATGGCATTAAAGCTGGCTGAAGTCAATGTATTTATTGTTAAAAATTTCTGAAGCCATCACTGTACACTTTTACCATATCACTTGCCTATACATTATACACAATGTGGTAACAAAGGGCAATTGCAGATCTACACTTTTACCACTTTACCCATAGAGGCTAAAAAAGGATAGTAAAGGGCAAGCATTTTTACAAACACACACTTCTCACACAATCATAGGCAAGACTAATACTCACCAGCAGCTTGACAGGAGACAGTGAGTCCCCACAAAATAAAGAAACTCAGTCTCAAAGAAGATGTCATACCGTCTATACCGAATAGGTGGCTGGCTGCCCAGGCCTAAAATTATAAAAAACTTTCAGACTATGACTCTATACAATCTGCTCCGACTGTATGTAGTATCTATGGTAAAATAATTGAGACAATTCCGCCGGGCCAATTTAACAAAGCGGGTCCTGATGATCACATCCTACTAAATCAGTCACGTGACGAGTGGTGATCCAACTCATCTATTGACTTCTACAAGGATGGAAAAGGAAAGTTGCAAAGGACCCATCTATTCTATGCAGTATGGTGCACAGCAAATCTGCGGTTTTGTTTGCCACGTATGTAATGTCACGTGATAAACGGGTGTGGTCATGTGGTCAATATTAATTATCATAGATATTAAAGTTAATTACACTATTATCTATAATGATTTCAATTCAACATAACATAATAATGATTTTACTCTAAACTGAATATTTAGGCCTCTGCACATTTTATTTATAATGAATCAATGATTGCTAAAACTATTTCAAATCACAAAACAGTTTCATAATCTGTGATGTTTGTACGTCTGTTGTGGTTATGCTCTGCAATTGTCTCATAGGCAGAATTAACATCAACATTGACATTCACCCTTTGATTATTTTCCACCTGTAACACTATACAGAAGTTCAATAATTAAAATTTTAAGTTGCTACAAACCTTGTCCATATGCTGGATTATTATCAATCAATTCTGCAATTACTAAATCAAAATAAATTAAAGTAAAATCTATACATTTCATACCTTCACTCCTTTTTCTTCGTCTCATGCATAAAGCAACAATAGTGATGAGGACAATGATTAAAATAACAATAGTAACTGCACTCACTGCTGAATAGATAATAGGCAGCAATTGTATTCTACTACTTTCTGGTGATAACATTGCAGTACTGGTATTAACTGTGAAAATAAATAGAAAATGTAACATTCAATATCTTTAATTTTTAACTTTTAATTATACATACCTGATATTACAGAAGATGATGATGGTTTATCTCAATCTAATTTTAAAATGAAAGATTTATAAATTAGAAAAACATAATTATTAATGATAATAATATTGTATTACCATTGGTACTGCTAGCAAATGCTGCTAGAGATGATGCCGGCAGTACATAGTTAGGCAGATAGGTGAAACAATTGTGGTTTTTTACATAGAATTGTGAAACTTGGAGTAAAAATAGAATATATTTTTGTAAATAATTAAAGAAGTTGAGCCACACCAAATTTTACTTTTGACACCTTATTGGCGTTAATTATGTTTTTAAGAAAAGGTGACAAAAAAGCTTTATAGCAAAAGTACTTAATATGGATATCATTTTAAAGCTCTTCTTTCAAGGATTCTTTTAAAGTTTGAATCACAGCTATATCTCATTCTCATCAGAAGTTATGGTCAATTTTAAAAATCATAG